CTCTGGTGAGACCTCTGCGTCCACCTCCCTGTCCCTCCCTCCCTCCTGATAGGAAATGTCTGGATGAGGCCATTTCACCCTGCGCCATCAGGCATGTAGCGCTGAACAGATGCAGTCCTGAAGGTGCCTGGAGCAGTAGAAGCAGTTTACATTAGTGCTGGCCATGATAACAAAAGGTTGCCTACAGGAAAGATGTGGACCTGTTGGAGCGGGTCCAGAGGAGGGCCACAAAAATTACCAGAGGGATGGAACACCTCTCCTAAGAGGTAAGGCTGAGAAAATTGGGTCTGTTTAGCTGGAGAAGAGAAGGCTCTGGGGAGACCTTTTTGCGGCCTTGCAATCCTTAAAGGAGATGTATAAGAAAGATGGGGACAGACTTTTTAGTAGCACCTGTGGCAGGACAAGGGGTAATGGTTTTAAACTAAAAGAGGGTAGATTCAAACTAAATATAAGGAATAATTTTTTTACTATTAGAATGGTGAAACATTGGAACAGGTTGTCTAGAGAGCTGGTAGATGCCTCATCCTGGAAACTTTCAAAGTCAGGTTGGACAGGGCTCTGAGCAACTTGATCTCATTGAAGATGTCCCTGCTCAATGCAGGGGGCTTGGACTAGATGACCTTTAAAGGTGCCTTCCAACCCAAACTGTTCTATGATCCTTTCCCAAAAGCTCATCTTTCAGCCACTTCCAGAGGTTTGATTTGAGCTGCCCTCTGAGAGGCAGAACCATCACCTTTCAGTAGGTGAGCTGTCTACTTCTACCAGGTAAATGCATGAAGAGAAAGACGGCAAGAAAAGCAAAAAACAAGCTAGTGAGCTTTAAAAACTGCTCTGAAGAACCGTACGTTAATCTCTCAAATCTATTTGCCTCTCAGAGTATGGGAAGTCTGTAGGTAGCAGCTGTTACCCAATTAAGATACAGATTAATATTAGAACAGTTCCTGGAATATAAAAGAGTGTCTGTGTCCCTACACTTCCTTAAAATTCCAGCTCATAATGGCTTGATGAACTTGAGAAACCCACCTAGAGGAACTCTGCATTCTTTCTTAAAATTAAAATACTTTCACTAAAAGGTATATATTACCATTCCGTGGAAGTCACTATGAGAAAATAATCTTTCTACTTACAGCTTATTCAGTGAGTCAGATATTTGGTATTCATTAAATGTAATTACAGTTTAATTGGAGTTTAATCTCTCTTTTCTTTTTCTCCTTCCTCTGAGTTCAGTGCTGGAAGCTAAGCAGCCGAAGAAACAGAGAGGTAGAAACCACTGAGCTTCTTCCAGTTGCCACACATTTAATAAAGCAGAGTCCTGTGGTTTGTGAAGGGGCTTATGTTTTATGAGTAGGTTGAGCTGGTCTGTGTGGAAGAGTTACTGCTGGGTGGTGGGGGACTGTCAGTACCTCTCAACTGGATGCTATGGCTTCTGGAGGCTTGGGTGCGTGTGCAGGCAGCAGGGCGTGCTCCTAGGCTGTGTTTGACCTTTATTTTATGAAAACGTGTGAGATGTGTAGCTTCAGGAAAGTGCCATATGAAGTGAAATCTTGTAGTGTACACTTGTTTTAATAATGATTTTTTTAATTACTTGGATGCATTGATGGCAAGCTACTGACCTCCAATATTCAATATTTTAAAAGACAGTTTTGTCAGTTGGAAGGCAGACAGAAAAATTATCTGTTTTCCATGTGCCTCTAGCTATCCTGGGCAGACACAGGCGGAGGCCCATGAGACTGCATCTTTTTATGCGCATGTCTAGCTTTAAACAGCCAAGCAGTCCGGAAACAGTCAGTAGGGCTATCTGTTGGCAGGACCTGTTCCTAAGGAACCTCTTCAAAAACAGAGTAGACCAGGGTTCTGAAAGAAAGTGTATTTCTTCAGATTTAATTAAGTTGTTTTAAATACAATTTTGAAATGCAGAGGGTTGTTGTGCTGGGCCATGGGAAAGCACACGTGCTGGCTGCCCAGCGCAGGGGATGACGACTGCGTCCACTCCGGGTCTCACCTACCAACAGTGGTCTATTCTGTTCATCTAACGCCATGCAATTTTGATGTTGTTGTGATAGCAGGGGAATGACCAGAGACCCCAGTAGTTACCACTTCCCTGTGTAAGTCAGGGCAACATCAAAAGTGGTGAAATGCATGTTGAAAAAAGGGCAGCATTTTGGGCATCATGCTGGCACATGAAGCAGAGGGCACCACTGCTCTCCGAGTGGATCCTGCCCAGCTGAGAGTTTGCTGTTTTATGGTGTGGATAGGAGCCCTGCTACACTTCTGTGTTTGGGATGAGGCTGTGCCCTTGCCCGTGGCTGGGGAGCTGCCAGGGTCGCTCTGCTGTGGCTGGTTCCTCAGCAATGTCCATCTGGGTCACAGGAGCATGTTTTGGTTGCAGCGAGATGGACAGGAGACGAGACCTCTCTAATGATCTTTTGAGTGCTGCTCTGACGCCTGCTTTCTGTTTGTCTCTCATTTCAGCTGACTGGGATTATTCAAGGCATGGTGGATGGGCAACCGAGCCTCCAGCAAGTGCTTGAGGTAAGCAGAGTAACCTTTAGTTCCTGAACTCTGACCTCTGGTCCTGTCGTCCCCTCTTCATCTCTTTCATCCCTCCACCCTCCCCTTGCTGAGAATCGAACCGCGTAATTTGACTATGATTACAGCTTCATTAGAATAACATTTGCTGTCACGTTGGTGACATGCTGCTGAGAGTATTGAACCATTGATCTGTCATCTCCAGCTGTTCATGTCAAGGGTGCTGACAAGATATCCAAACTCCTGCCAGTAGATAGAAGAAGAGGCGATTCTTGCTTGAGCCAGTTTTAAAGCACCACGACATTGCTTGAGACCACTGCTCCAGGAGCTTCTGCCTTCATTTTCTTTCTCCTCCCTCAGCACTTTATTATATTAATTATTTCTACCTATTTAAATGCTCAATAATACATGTAGTATGGAAAGAAAACGTCTCTAAAATCTAATCTGGAGGATGTGCAAATGCAGATATAGCCCTAATAATGCCATATGCTTAATGTTGAATTCCTACAGCATTTAGGGCTTAATTAGCTTGGAAGTATTTCTCCATCAATAGCTTTTGTTGGTAGTCAAATAGTGAAGGAAACCTCCTCAAGCAGAGCCCGCCCCGCTGTGCGTTGGTGTTCAATGCATTGTCTCTATCAGGATTTCCACTGCTATGTTACCTAATTGTTCCCAATCAGAAAAATTGCAACAATTGCTTATCTGAGGAAATCAAATTAAAGGCTTTAAAATCCTCCATGGAAACAGCACTTCATGGGTGCTCACATCAGGGAGTTTAGAAAGGTTACGGCTGCTGCCTCTTGCTCCAGGGAGCCTCGTGTGGGACTGGCTGGAAGATCCTGGCAGCCCAAGGGAGGCAGAAGTGTGGCTGAGGGGCTGGATGCTGCTCTGGGGGGGGCTTTACTCCAGAGGGCTGTTGTATGATGGGTCGCAGAAAGAAGCACTGTCCTCTGCTGGAAAGGCCGTGGCAGTGAGACGAAGCCCAAGACAAAGCTCTGTAAAGGTGACATCTTGCATCCACACAAACCCCCAACTCTCCCTGGTGCTCTCCAGAGAGCACATAGCAGCAGTGCATGTCCATAAGCATACAGATGTCCACGTGCTCCCTCAGGAAGGGGGAGCCCTCTTTGCCTGCATGGGTGAACGTACATCTCTGCTGGAGTATTACAGAAAATGGTTCATTCTGTTTCTATGGGAGCTTCTTAGAATGTGGAAACATTTTTGATTGAAAAGGTGTTTATACAGCTTCTGGGGTATACTAGTTTATTCAGGAGCAGAAGGTGTTGAGTGAGGGAAAAGAGGAGAGATTTCTCTTGCAGAACCACTGGAAATGCTGCTAGTGAGCCTGCATAATAGCAGCTGATTACCTGTCACCTGCCACCAGAAGATTTTGGGCATGTCATTTGCTAGTTCTAGCTGGAAAAAGTGTCTATCTAGGGATTTTAGTCTAGGTTAGTTCTTCCTGGTTAATCTCCAAGGTGGATGTGCATCCGTCAGATCAATGTGGCCCATTTCTAAAGTGGATCCAAAACATCTGTCCCTATGGGAGGTTGATCAGGAATAGTGGATTCACTTTAAATCCACACCGTACCTTGAATAAGCACGTCCTCAGAACCGTAAGGAGGAAAGAGAGACCCAGTCTGGAGAGGAAGGGGACACGTGGCTTTGCTTGTTCCTGCTGCACAGTGCCTGTGTGTTTCTCCCCCTATCCCATATCCCCTTGGAACTGTATGAATTGGAGTATGTGAGGGATGTCATCCCTGGATACCCGTGTTTTCCCCTCGCTGGAGGGGTCACAAGTCATGCTCTCTATGAGCCCATTTGGTACAGAGAGAGGAAGAGTGGAGGAGGACTGCCAGGTAGCAGCGTGGTTATATTGTCCCGTTAACGCTGTATAACTTCCATCCCTCCACGAGCAGAGCTGCTGCAGTGTCTGATAAGATCATCTCTGCTCTGGTTGCCTGATGTCTCCTATCAGAAATCTTCAAAGGTCCAAACGTGCTGTTGTTGAGATGGCAAGCAAAGAGAGAAGAGAGAGAGGGAGAGGGTGGATAAGATCACAATTTTCTTCTCTCTTGATTGCAAGCAGCTTATCTGAGTTTAACTGTTGTGGCTCGGTCTGTCTCGGTAAAACTCATCCCCTTTTCTTGCCTTCGTTTCAGAGGGTTGACGAGTGGATGGCAAAGGAAGGCCTCTTAGATCCCAGCGTCAAGTCGATTTTTGTGACCTGTGGAGACTGGGACTTGAAAGTGATGTGAGTATGGAAGGGGAGAGAGATTTTTCTGGGTTTCATTGCTCCGTGCTTGCCTGTAACGCATACGTCTTTGTCCTTACAAGCCTCAGACTGTCCCTAGTCTTTGTTTCTTAGGGAAGTCATTGTTGCCGTGCATAATTGGCAGTGGAGGGTTGTTTAAGTAGACAGGTGGGTGCTGCTCATAGTGCAAGATCACTGCCTAGGATATTCCCTATAGTGAATGAATCCTTTCGGAACCCCAGGAAAGGTTTGAACTGGAGCTTTGATGTTTTCCATGTATCCAGTATACTTTTCAAATGGATGGCTGTTTCTGAGCACTTACATGGAACTCTGTTTCTGTACAACCAAATCAAGCAGTGGTCCTTACCTGGCTTCTGCATGCAAGTCTTCCTCTTTGCCATCTTGGCACACTGACTAGATGTGAATCACAGAGCAGTCTTTAGAAAGAGAGCACAAGCAAAGGCTGGCATGCTTCATTGGTATTCTTGTTAAGGTCATCTTCATCAGCTGGGCGACTGTATCTGGAGAGTACCAGGTGGGGACCTGCACTGGGACCTGCAAGTGTCAGTGTATGTGTGTGTTTTGTTAGGAAAACAGCTAGACCACCAACCTAAAAATGTTATTTTTAAGATATTTAAATTTCTAAGAATTAGATTAGTCTAATCTGTAAGATGTTTGCAGATCAGTGTCATATTGTGCTGAATTCACCTGGATTCCTATGATCTTGCTTCAGCTTTTCATTTCCTGAGAGTGCTCAATAAAGACTCCTGTTGTTATCACACCAGTAAAGCATGGGCTTGACATATCCAATGCTAAACTGACATCCACAACTCGTTAGTAGTGTTACTTGGTTTTCACTGTGACATTGGTTTCCCCAAGTCAGGAGCCTAAATAAACTGCACACAGCCTGGGAGCAATCAGCACCGGCTCTTCCCTGCAGAGTGGTCTTTGTAGAGTGGCAGCTCCTCGCCTCTTCTTGGTGTGATTAGTGAGACATGAGGATGGAAGCAGCAGCACAAGCGCTAGTGGAGATGAGAAATTTGCTGTGCTCCAGACAGGAACATGGTATCCAAACCTTTGAGTCAAAATCTGGGTCTTTCCTGGGGCCTTGTCCAGAGCTGGTATATGTTGCTAATTCCCATGTTAGTGGCTTAAATAAAGAGTAAAGCTTTTCTTTATATATCATGTTTAAACTTTTATTAGAGACAACACAAAGACAGCTGCAGGGGTGTGCTAAACTTGCTGTTTCTCATCTGTTTCTGTTCTTTACTCCTGTACTGCTGTTCTGAGAGTCCAGTTTACTGCTTTTGGTGATGATTGTGAGGAACAGAGTTATCTTTGCTCAAATCCCATCTTTCCATCACTTTCACAGTGGGATAACAAGGTTCCCAGATAATGACACCCGAACTTGGTGTCTGTATGGAGTGGGCAACTATCTGGATGTGGCTTTTTTGCTTCAGAGCTCTACAGTGGGCAAATACAGGTAAAGATGAGCCCCATTTCTGGTGAGCCATAGGGGTTGTGGAGTGAGCTGTCTCAGCAGGATGTGCAGTTCACATACTCAGTTCACCATTTGCGGTGGTCTCTCGCATGGATTGTGCCTCACTAGTCGGCTGGAAAAGAGTACTCCGCTCCTGCCCATGAGGTTGCAGCGAGTGATTCATTTCTTCCTCTTCTTTTTAAAAAATTTTTTTAAACCATTAACTTCAGAATTCAATCCTGAAGCGTCTCCAGGGCAAAGCAGAAAATACATTTCATGTTTCCAACCACATGCATAGCGGAGTCTGGCTGCGGCCGCTTGGTGAGTAGCACATCACGCCGCTCCGTCGCCGATTGGGTGCTGCAGCGTGTAGCGTCACATCTGATTAGCGCCGTGCCAGTGAATGAGGCTTGAGTGAGGACTCCCTGCCAGCTCTGACTTGTCTCATTTCCCATTACTTTTATCCGTCACCACAAATGCCGAGTCTCCCTCCTGAACTAATTAAGTTTGCATGTGTTTAGACACATTGCCAAATAGGGTTTAGCAAAGCAGAACTGAGCATCTCTTTTTAAAGAAGGAAGGCAGAGAGCTGAAACAAGGCCGCTCAGACAGGGAGGTAGAGCCTCAGAGATGTGGAACATCTAGGAGGTATTCCAGGGAATCACCCTGTGCTTCTCTACAAGAGTTGTGATGTATCCGGTGCCCTTTGCTACCGTGTCAAGACCACACACTGGGCACAGAAGGCACTGGGGCAGTGAGAAGCGAGGTGGTGCTGCTTGTCCACATTTGGAGAAGTGTGTTGGTGGAAGCATTGCGTGGTAGAAACCCCCACTGAGTTCCAGAGGAATTCAAGACAATGAGGTGAGTGCAGCACTTTCTGGCTTATGGAACAGCAACTTGGGGCAGGTCCATTCCTAGCTCTGCTGCTCCTTTTCTCAGCTTCCTTAGTAATGACAGCTGCCTGCAAAGCAAGCTGCAGTCGTCTTGCCCAGTGTCTTGTGTGGTTTGGAGTTCATGTCCTCTATTGTCCTTAGCTTGGCTCTTGGTGGGAAACCATGCAGCCTTGTTCCTGGCTTCTCCAGCAATGACCCGGGCATTTAGTTTGGCTTCTGTCTGCATGTGCTGTTGAAGAGCTGAGGCATGGTATCTTCTGGACAGGCCTGTCTACTGTGAGGGCTTCCAGTAGGTGCCCCTGGTAGGTGTCAAGGCACTGGGAGTCACAGTGGGGTGAGCAAGCTGGATGGGGAGGAGTGACTGGAACAAAGAGGAGGAATCTACAAGCCTGTCAATGGTGGGTATGAGGACAAGGTGTGGAAATATCCTTGTCAAAACTAGGAGTTGCAATATGTGTAGCACTGTTAGCTCAAGGAAGAGCACCAGAGGAGCAGCAATTGTCAAGGTACAGCTCTCTGCTGATGGCTTCTAGCAGTACCCAAGTCTGCAGGATTCAGGATGTAAACTCAGCTGCTAAAGGACCTGTGAAGCCTCTGCTTGGCTCAGGGATCCTCAGGGAGAGAGGCACTGTGTGGCTACAGACTTGAATACTGGAGCTTTCTTGGAATATCACAGAGCTGTTTGTCTGGTTTTCCTCTGACAACAGGGAGCACTAGTCACAAGGAACTGGCTGCACCGAAGAGGACACCAAGCACCTGGGAAGGTTCATGGAGGTTCAGCATGAGTCGAGGTCCTCGGCCATGCCACCAAAGGCTTTGTCATGGGTGTGGTGCACCATCTGGAGGGGAGTCCCTTTTGGAAGAATTTGGTTGCTGCTGGAGAGAGCCCATTGCATGAGAGGGCTCAGGAATGGAGCACTGATCCTCTACTTGCTGCACTTGGATCAACCGGCTTTCAGCACTCAGTGTATGTGAACCAGGCTGGAGTCGGGGAGACGGCAGTTCTCCTGCCACCCCTCCCCTTCCCTCTTGTTAAGATGCAATTCTTTAATGAGGAAAACCTCTTGAGTAGGAACATCACCTTTCTGAAGGCTTGTCCTGACAAGGCAGTTCAAGCCGACAGAGTCGCATATCAACTTCAGCAAATATCAGTCACTCATTACAGAGACTCTTCTCCCCCCCCACCCCGCAGCAACACCCCTCGTTCCCAGACAAGGGAATGAATCACACTCCTGCTCTTGAATACATCATGACAAGTCGTGGTTCTAATGAGAGAGGGCCATTCATTCTGGGTGGAAAGTTCCCTGTGTCGACACGGAAATGTTATTAATTAAAGAGAGCTACCTGAAGCAAAAGATGAAAGGTGCACCAGACCTGCCAAGCTAAAATATGAGTGGGGATACAGCCTCGTTAGGCACACGGTCCTCAGGCCTCGGAGTGCTCAGCAGGAGGATTTCTTTAGCCTGTTGCAAGGAGCTGTCCTCCAAGTTTAACAGCTCTGGGGCTGGATTCGGATACCTGGCGTAGTCTGCTCTAGTGCTTGGACCTCATCCTGCACCTAGGACGGAGCTACCGCTAGTCATTAAGCAAATTGCAGTGATGCAGTGTTGGGTGATGAGGGTAACGTGCCTCTGAAGGGCTGAGGGAGCTGCTGACTGCAGGACACGGTTTTAGTGGAAAAGAGGGTACTTGGTGTCTGCCAGGGCCGAGCCCTTGTAATGTAAGCTCTTTAGTGTGGTTTATCTCCTCTGAAATGTCAGATTGCCTCTCTCTGTGTATGGAACCAGTTTGCCTGCTCTTAAGGACAGTGTGAATTAATCTTGGCAACCAAAGAAGCATTTTTACTGGGTGTTCATAGCTACAGAGCTGAGATACGGTGAGATTAAGTGATATGCCTATGGTTGTGCAGGCAGAGGCAGAGAAAAGAGACGAAGCCACACATGCTGAATCTCAGATCTGCACACATGTGACATGAAGATGCTTGTACTGCCCTTACTGTGGCTGATCAGAACATGCTAATTTATGTCTTTACAGGAAACTACTGCTCAGAAGTTTTTTATTTTCTTAAATAAGTGTTAAGTGGCAAGTACTCTCTAATATAGTGATAAAACACAGTGAAGTGTCTTGAAATGTTTATAGCCCTTGGTGCTCTTCCTAGGTTGCATATTAGTAAATTCAGAGCAGTAAATTATACCATTGCTTAATTTTATCTTACTGTTTTAATTCTTTCTTTGCAAGTTACACAGTCTAGGAAGATAGTTGCCTTCTTGGGCCAGCTCCAAGTGTGGCAATGGGCTGGTCTTTCCAGCCTTCTGTCCTGGAAGCTTGGTTTGAGATCAGCCTTAGGTCATGAATGAAGAAGGATTGATGGTGTTAGTGTTCCTTGTTCTTTATCACAGGACTGGGGGGGGATGGTAGTCTCTGACTTGGGGAGAAATTGCAGACAGCCACTGAATGGAGTGAGTGGGACCGCTTGGGTAGCCGTGGGGAGAAGCAGGAGAAGGTGTATCGTGGGCTGGCTGGGTGGCAGGAGGGCGGGAGGTTTGTTCAGAGGGTGGTTTTGACGATACCAGGGAAGAGCTGGTAATGGAACAATAACACAGTAATCTGCATTTAAAAAATAATAA